GAGGGAGATTGGGAGAGGGGTGGCCTGTGGGAAGCAGAGCTGGTTGGGGGTGAGGGGTCGGGGTAGCGGGGCTGGCCAGGGGAGATCGGGAGAAGGAGAACCAGCCAGCAGGAAGTAGGGCTGGCAGGGGGGAGGAAAGGGGGAAGAAATGGCCAGCAAGGAGCGGGACTGAGCAACGCCAGGTAACTCCAGCTAGTAGCTACTAAAAGATTGCCTTATTTTCACCACTTAAAAACATCAAATGCCCCTACATTTTTAAAAACCATGTAAATATATATAGCATTTCATATCTCACTGATATTTTTACAGTCATGCTTCCATTCAGAGTTGTCATTACCCATACATAGAATATGCAGTTGTACGGGGCCTCTGAAATTTGGAGCATCACTAGTCCAAAGTCCACCCATCTGCTACTTCTTATTCTTGTTCGGCGTGTCTCCTTCCTCCAAAGACGATCTAGTTCAGTGTTTCTCAACCAGTAGTACAAGTACCCTTAGGGGTACTCGAGAGAAGTCTGAGGGGTACATCAGCACAACTGAAATTTGGAGAAAACTGAATTTTTGTTTTAAGTTTTATAGCATTTTTTTTTAATTTTTACACCCAAAAATGTATCGCCTGCCCAGCTACGATTAAGTTGTTCAAACAAATGTGTTGCAATGGTAGAAAAAAAAATGTGTCTGAAAACTATAGGTACTGGGGGCACTTATAATTTTTTTAAAGGGGTACTTTATAATAAAAGGTTGAGAAACACTGATCTAGTTAACTCAACAGTGGAAAAAGCCTGTCAGACCTATTAATAGAACATCAAACCTGTGAAAGAACCATTCAAGTTGTAATTGAGCCATTTAATGTATTTGCCTGCCCCACTTCATCTGAAGAAATGGGCTATGCCCACAAAAGATCATGATACCATCTATATTTCTGTTAGTTTCTAATGCGCTGCAGGGCCATGTGTTGCTTTTTTAAGTTTTTTCCATTCCAGGCTAACACAGCTACCCCTCTGAGCCAGGTATATACAATGTACTGTCAGTTTATGAATTTGCCATGTTAGTCTACAATTTGTTTTAAAATATTTCATTAGTATTGCTGAAGACTATAAAATCACATCTCTAAAAGACTGTCATCATCCCTTGGATGTCATCAGTTTAATAATAAGAAGTAGGGCCCCAAAAATCTGAAAGTTGGCCCTGCTGCCATCTCAGTCAGGAAAGGGAATCCAGTGATCTTTTCCTGAACTGGTTCCAACAGCTTCTCAACCTTCTTGTCTATTCTCATAAACTTCCCCTTTCTCCCCCTTCATGCAAAAGGCAACACACACTTTTCTTCCACTTAACTAGAGAAAGGTTGCAATCAGAACAGTATTTCAAATTTCAGTGATGCTTTTATAACTGACTTTGCAATTTGTCTGAATAAGAATATGAAAAATGGTATGACAAACAACATAAATGACATAATAAAGAATTTGTTTCGTATACATGAGACACAAAATAGCCATTAAGTTTATAAACATTTTAAGTTCAGTATTAATATTGTTAAAAAATTAATTTTACTCAAAATTAAGATTGCTCTATTATTCAAAAATGCTTTATGTTCAATTTTCCCTTTCATCATAAAACTGCTATTAATCTAATCACTTAGAAATAATAAGGGATGAATCTTGTCAAACATTACCTTAAAATGTTGGAAGGTGCATTTGCGATGTTCATACCACTCAGCAAAGAATGACAGGCTTCTGAAAAATTGCAAAAGGCTTCCTTGTTCTTCAGCACTATGGAAAAACAAACAAACAATCTATGTAGTGTCTTCCAGTAGTTCTGGAAAAAATCTGGTACTCATCAATGCTAATTATATATAACATGGATTTTTTTCTTCTAAATAATTTATAGCTAAACTCATTGAATTGGTTTCTTCAGCCCAGAAAGCTACATAATGGAAGAACCCTTCACTTGCAAGGAATCTGATTTAACGCAGTGGATATTTGTGCAGGATACTCATTACAGGATAGAGATGTTCATTTTTAAAATCACTATTGTACTACAGGCAGTCCCCGAGTTACGCGGATCCGACTTATGTCGGATCCGCACTTACGAACGGGGTCCTCTCCCTGGTCTCCAGCAGACCAGGGAGAGGAAGCAAAACGGCAGAACACGCGGGCAGCGGGCAGCCCAGACGCGTCTGGGCTGTCCGCTGCCCGCGTGCTCCGCGGCTTTGCTCTGCTTTGCTCCCCGTCCCCCTGGTCTGTTT